AAAACACTCATGTTTGAGAAATGTGTGCTGCTTGCACAACTAAGGTGAATTGGCAATGAGAAGGACAGAAAAAGTAGCTTTTAATACTTCAAGATAATACAGGAAAGCGGAGCTACTTCCCCTTCTTCCTTCTTTTACAATTTAAAAGCTCTGGTCAAGGCAGAGTGTCAGCCCATGTAAAGATAGATGCAGAAGGGATGCAATGGCTGCCTTTCTGGTTTAAGGCTTTTGAATTGGTACACAAAGAAGCTGTGGACTATTATAATCCTCAAGTGTAGGACCTTCTCTATATATTTGGAAGTAATCTTGTTTTTAGCCCTGTTTTAAGCATTTGCTAGAGGTGTAGAGGGTACAACTTTATCACAGAAAATAATATTTTATTTCATTAGGTACAAGTAACTATCTTGATGGCATCAAGTTTTCCATCATATCACTTAGCTTATTATCTTGAGATAGCTAAATGCAACCAGCATTAAGGCCTGACACCATTTAAACCATTTGAAGTGATGAACTGCAGACAGTGAGAAAACTAGCTGTCTTCTTCCTGGTCCATTGGACCATCAAGAAATGGTCAAGCTGTACAGTGCAGCCTGCCAGGTTGAGGACTATAATGGTCATCGCACCTCTACAAGTACACCCCAATATTTCAGCAGTATGGAGAGGGTGGAAATTCTGTCCCATCACGACTAGCTTTACAAGGGAATATTTTAATTTGCATGAAGGCTTCTGGAGAGCGGGAGAGACACTTGTAAATGGTTTATGAATTAGTACGAAATGCTTAAATATGAGTAATTTTAGGAAAAAAACGCATGTTTTCCAGTATTGCTTTATAGAAAAAGAAAAGGAAGAAGAAGAAAAGATGTTCCTATTTTAACCTTCATCTGAAACAGGACTTCTTTTAATTACTCAGGAAAAAAAAGGCATTGTGAAAGAGCCCTGAGGTACCCGCTCCACCAGCGCACAAGTCCAGCCACACTAAAAATACTTCAATAATGGTCAGCTTCTGCTTTTTTTTTTTTTTTTTTTCTCTCTCAAACCCTGTGTTTAAAGTTGTCCTCTTTCATTTAGGAGCATTTCCCGCTTTCCAGTTCCCTGTCTTCTACCCGTTCTTTCGAAGACTGGGAAATACCACAGGAACTTAACTGCGAAAGCCAGTTTATGACACTCCAATTAAACCATTAAGCCATTAATCCATTTTTTTCCCAAATTTGCATATGGCTCATACACCTTAGCAAGTCCAAGCCTGTTTTCTTAAACCTTTGCAAACAAACTTTTAAACCCTTTGCCCCTACTTTGCCGGCGAAGCAGCCACCACGTTACCTCCACAGACCCGTCTTGCACTTCCCCGCACGGCCGCGGCGAGGACCTGGTGTAACCCCACGGCCTCTGCCCGTGCCCCTGTGTTCCCCCCCGTGTCCCTGTAACCCCCGTGTCCCTATAACCCCCCAGTGTCTCCCCTCCAGTGCAGGATGCGGCTCCCCGCGACCCCGCCGCGCTCCTCGCCCGCAGGTGCCCGGCAGCCCCGCTCTGCCCCACGCGTGGCGGGGTCTGCGGGGGTCCCAGCCCGTACCTGAGCTTCTCTCCGGCCGGCACGGCCAGCTTGTTCAGCTTCTCCATGCTCCGCGCTGCGCCACCACCCGCCGGGACCCCCGGCTCAGCCGCCCCTGGCACCGCCACTCGGCACCTGCCGGCGCCGCCGCTTCCTCCTGCCGGGAGGGGAAAGGGCACGGCACGGCACAGCACGGCCACGCTGCCTGCTAGCACCCCGCTCCGTGCTCGGGGGAAACTTCCCTGCTAGGGGAGCCTTGGCAGCTGGGCGCTGCAGGCTCTCTCTCCCTGTCCCACCCGCAGGCACAGGCAGAGGAGGGACCCGGTGCTCCCGGCCCGCCCCCGGCCCGGCCCGGCCCAGCCCGGCCCGCACAGGTGGCCGCGGCAGCCCCGGGTAATGCCTCTGGAAACGGGACGCGGCTCCCCCGCGCCTCCCCGCAGCCCCCTCCGTGTGTCTTGGGGGAGCGGCGGCTTGGCCAGGGAGGAAGGCGGCCCCGCAGTGCCGACAGCCGGGTTTGACAGTGGGTGAGATCTCGATGAGCTCCAGCGGGCCGTGGAGGGGCCAGGGAAGCAGGCTGCAGCTGGGTGCTCAGCCCTGGGCTGGCCGCAGGGCTTGGCAGGAATGCAGGGACCGCCGGAGATGCTGGGCTCCCTTCTCTGCTCCCCACATCTCTCCCTGTGATGGCGTGCCGGATGCTGGCATGCTGCCACGGGGACTTTTCCCTTCCCGAAGGGGCTGCAGCAAAACTAGAGATCACCCAGTTTTCCCTATCCTTTTGAATATCACCGTCGGGAAAAAGAGACGTTTCTTCACCTGCCTTCCTAAACAGCACACCCTCCATCAGCACAGGGTGAGGTTGTTCCCACCCCAGATGTAGGTAGCTGGTCTGTGTTTAATGGCTCTGATACCTTCAGCCCAAGCTTGGTCTTTTTTTCCTCTTTAAAGGTCAATTTATAAGTGACAATGTAAGCAGGTATTCATGCTTGGGCTTTATCCTGTAGTTCTGGTAGACTTTTTTTTTTTTTTTTTTTTCTTTTTTTAAAAAAAAACAACATTCTATGCCTTGTATAGTGTTGCCACTCTCTTCTTTCTGTATCTTTGGCCTCTGTGGCTTAATTTACAAGCTAAGTCTGGTCTAGGTAGGAAACCTTTCTCTTCTTTCTTCTTTCATCTGCATCATGTTAATAAGTTTTGGTAAGTACTGTATATTTTGAGGACACCATAAGTTATTTAGTGGGGAGATTCTCATGACACTTAAGGCAGGTTTTCACATGGATATGTTAAATCCCTAGATTGTACTGACTATATTTCTTTTGTGAAAATTTAGTGGTAAAACATGCTTTCCTGGTTAGTGCAGGTGACAATGGGGAAACAGCCTGCCACAAGATTTATGTCTTTGCTAACAGTATTGCTCTGATCTTGGCATGGATAATGTCTTTGATCTCTCAGCCTTTAACCCAGGAATCAGTGGATATTTACACACAGTATTTCTCAAGGGAGGGCCCTTAGTGAACAAATTACCCTTTTGGGGTGTCTTATAAAGTTGGGGTATTTCATAAAGGCTTTAAATAATAACAGTCAAGTTGAATGTTATTTACTACACATGTCCCTGGAATTCCACCCTGCATTATATCTGATTATGAACTGGACACTTTTCCAAGTTTACTCGCAAAGTTATTTTTGAAATTAAGGTTGCACTCTGGCAATGTGAAGAAGCAGTGCAAATGAATTGCAGTGTCACTTTACCTTTTGCTTATATAATCTTCCTGCTATATCTAAATATGTATCAGGATACAGGCTTGCTTGTTAGGCCCTTAGACAACAGCTGGTTCTTACCTGACTCACAGAAATCCCAAACTATTTCCCTTTGAGATCTTTGGTGGCAGCCTGTCATTCACACGCTGCCCTGGTTTTGTCCTTGTTTCTTCATGACTCATCAGTTTATGGGTTTAGTTTTAATGCTCTACAGTGCCTGGTGAGCTAGAGAGCTTTCACTCTTGTCCTTACAGCACTGCTCCCTTGAAGGAACTGATGCTGATGCCTCATTCCCAGGGCCGTCCCCAGGTCCATCCATCAGCCTTCATCTCTTATCCCAGTGTCCATGTAGCCATGCAGTGAAATGGACTGGGAAAGAAGTCCTCTATAAATGATCTAGCAAAAAGTAACAAAAAAGGTGGTATTAGCTGCATGCACTTCTGGATATGGTTCAGTGCATAGGTGTTTGTGTGGGTGCAGCAAAGGGTAGGAGGAATAGGGTGTGTGGCTGTTTAAACTGGTATGGCTGCCCAGAAGTTACTCCTAAGAATATCCCTATTGCACAAGACTTGTTCATGAGATTTTGTGGTATCTGCCACAGGGCCTGTCCATGGATCAGTATCTCAGCCAGCTTGTTTCTTTCCATGCATACACATGGCCCAACACACATCTCTGCTTCACTTTAATATCTACAAACTGCTTACAGAAAAACAAAACCAAAAAACAACCCTTTTCCTGCTGCTCCACAAGGGCTTGGCCCTCTGAATGCTTATGGAGGGCACATCTTCTTTCACTTTATAATCACTACTACCAAGATGCACTGACACTTTCCAGGGGAGAAGAGTCCTGCCCTAGAATTAGCAGAAGTCTCTAGTACCAGGTGATGTGGCATAGGCTGGCTCCCTGCTCCTGCAGAACACGGGCAAAGAATAAATTATACTGTTCCTCCCCAGAAAGTGCATACAGTACCCTCTAGGCATCTCAAACCCAAGGCACCTGAGAGAGAGCAGTTTCTCCTGGCCACCTTGGAATATGCTTTTCCTGGGAAACCAATGGAGGGTCAAGTGCAAGTTAAGCCCTGAAATTAAGAGAAGGAAGCCACACTCCCCCATATGCCAAAGAAAGTTTTTCTAGCTACAGTGAAATTCCTCCTTTTCCCCAGTTTAAATGTATTCAGGTGTCGAGAACCTTTGGATCTAAACTGAAGCCTCACCAGGAAATGGCTAGAGCCTGCTTAGCTGTTTCTGGTCTGCCTACAAATCAACCTATCTGGCCATCTATTATTGTGCTCTGAAAGCATATCAGGGCAGAACAAGATAGGACAGCCACTCGAGAGACAAACAAACAAACAAACAAACAAACAACAGAAAAAAACACCCAAACCTCTCCAAACATCTGTAGGCCTCTTTTGCCCAGTAGGTGGTTTCGGAATCCAAACTTTGAGCTCATATTTGGACTGACCCTGTCTGTGGTCAAGACGGTTTCTGTATAGTCCTTACAGAAACACTGTTTACTGCCAGCAAGGAGGAACACACTGGGAAGGGGTGGTTCCTCCCTCCCTCTAGGGTTACTTGTTGCCCCCAAATAGTGAGGCAGGACTTCACTAGCCTCAGCTCCAGGAAACGACCTTCCTGCTTCTTCAGGAACCCTGGGAGGGCCTGGAGGCAGCAGCAGATTGGAGCCACGCAGTGAGCATAAAGTCATGCTATTTTTGTTGCTGTAACCCCAGCAACTGTCCATCTCTGACCTCATGTGTTCATTTGCAGAATGCCAAAGAGGAACTAGCATTTGCTTTACCACGTGGATGTCATTTTGGCCATAACAGGGGTTCACATGAAACCCTCCTCCCCAGGCATGGGTGCTGGCAGAGGTGTGGTTGTTCTGAGGGATGCCTGTGCTACTACTGTGCTCCCTGGCACATCTGGGGCCAATGGAGACAGTTGGGAGGCACAGACGTCAACTTGCAAGTGCTGCTGGCCATTGAGATGTGGCCTGTCAGCCTGGACCAGCCTGTGCTGCCCAGCAGAGGTAATGGGCAGGTCCCAGGGGCATTGGGGTGACAGTAGTGTCCCAAGTGAATAGGTTTTGATATGAAGCTTTTTGCAGAAGTGTTCCTGCAGTAGTGGTCTTCTGGAGTTTTATTGTTCAAACTCTTCACCTAAAGGGCATTTTAATGTTTTAAGAACCTGCATTGTCATGGACTCTGCCTTTTTTTTTTTTTTTTTTTTTTGTGATTAGGTAGTGGTACTTTCATTTTCCTGTGTATGGCTACAGATTGACTGGGCAAGTTCCTTGCACCATTACTCAACATAGGTAATGCAGAATTTGCCAGTAAATTCCCTTGGCAGGATGGTTCAGAGAATATGGATACTTTTTTACTTTTTTTTTTTTTTTTTTTTTTTTAATTTTTTGATGCTCAAAATGCCAAAATGCCTTTTAAATTTCTGGAAAGATCTTCTTAATGCCTGGAAGGACAATCTAAATGCCACTGACTGTTGCAACATCATTTCCTCATCACTGTAAATGTTGTGGCTTAGTTTGGGTTTGTCTCTCTCATCCTCTCCCAATATGACTGTATTTCTCCTCTTATGCCCATAAATAAAAAGATTTAAAAAAACAACATCTCTATCTTGCATATTCAGAAACTAAAATGATTTTTTAACCTCTTCTGCTATTTTCTTCTGTTTATTTCTCCTGGTTCATTCTTTGTGCATGCTGCCTCACTTTGATGGCACACTCTGGTTTCTATTTAAGACCTATTTTCTATTTAAGATGAGGTAATCAGGACATGGTCAAACCCAGACTTGGTGCAACAGACTGAAACTGTGAGTATTGTACCTTCATTTGGTCAAAATTTGTTGTAAATTCACAGATATTTCCTGTTTACTCCAGGCTCCAGTTCCCTATACCCTATTGTACCTTGAGTACCTCAGGTAGTGTGTCCAGTTTTGCAAGACATAAGAAGAGTGTCTGAGGTCACTTGGTGTGTTCAGCCCAGAGCAGAGGTGGCTGAGGGGAGGTCTCATGGTGGCTTGCAGCTTCCTCATGAGGAGAGTGGAGGGGCAGGCGCTGAGCTCTGCTCCCTGAGGACAGCGACAGGACCCGAGGGAATGGCATGGAGCTGCATTGTGTGAGGCTCAGGTTGGATATCAGGAAAAAGTTCTTCACTGAGAGGGTGGTTGGGAACCGGTACAGGCTTCCCAGTGAAGTGGCCACAGCACCGAGCCTATTAGAGTTCAAGAAATGTTTGGACAACTCCCCCAGGAGTTGGGCCCAATGATTCTTGTGGGATTCCTCTTTCCAACTCAGGATATTTTGTGATTCTATGATTGTTAAGATCATCTGTGGTTTAAGGTTTGTCTGAAGCATTTGAGTCCTTGGCAAATGGTGTTCCTAGATCATAACAAGTACTTCCCTACAGTGCTAACTGTTACGGAGAAACTGTTAGGCAAAAGCTGGAGTTTGAGTACTATCACTGACAACAGTGGTAGTTTTTATTGACTGAAAGTTTCTGTCTGACTCTTTCAATGACTTTTTTTCTGATTTCCACTGAAATTAATGCTGTCTACCTCAATTCCTGCCGGTATGTGGTTTGTATGATGATTTGGGTTTTGTCAGGGATTCCTGCTGAAGCTACTGATATCACTAGTAGTCACATTACAATTAAATATTTTATAAAATATCAGCTCTACATATCTTACTTTTAAGTTATACACTTCCTTTTAGGAAGACCATTCATGATGTTATCTTCATGTGGATTACAGATCATGACTATGTTTAGTCTAGGGAATCTAGGAATCTGTTTGAGTTCCTGATCTGGGTTGGCAGCTGAAGCTGTGAAGCTGTGAAGCTGAACATGATGGGGTGTTGCTCAGATGCAACAGCATCTTCCCATAGCCTTGTCTGCATGACAAGAAAGCCTAGGAATATGTCCCAGGCAGGAGCTGTGGCACACATGACAGGTGGGCAATCAGGCTGTGTGAAAAGTCCAAGCCAGTATATTGATACAGCTTTGCCTGGAAGCTGCCATTTTTAAACATCTAAGATTTCACATAGTTAAAATAACGAGCTGAGCCTTATAAATTATGTCATGTAGCATAAAAAATGAGCATTAAGAAGGTGAATAAAAAGAACTGCAAATACATTAATTTTAGACATCCATTTGAAGGAAATCTTCTTTATTTTTATTTTTATTTTCATTTTTATTTTTAATGCTTTGAGGAGCCAGTGCTGCATCAAAGAATCTCAACAAGCTATGCATGACTATTTCAAGAGGAAGCTATTTTTTACAGGTTACAGTAATGCCTACAGACACAGTCTAGTGCCTTCAATGTAGGACAAACAGCTGAGAAACATGATTTGATGTAAGCAATCAGTTTGATAATGAGGTTTCAATTTTATCTGTAACATGACCATATAAGACTCATGTTTTCTCTCAGTCATGCTAGAAAACCCATTTCTTAACCCTTTCCCAATTAGTAAAATCTTGCCTCCAACATTAATAGAGAAGATCATACCAGACAATATTCTTAAAAATCTCAGGAGTCAACAATGGAACTTCTCATTATAGGAAAGAGTTTTTTAGATGGATTTCATGCGCAACCTGTCCTGCTAAGAACCTAGTATATTTGCTCATTTTGACTTTTGAACTTCTGGGAAATGTGAGAAACCAGAAGTTGCACATTCTAAAGGACAGCTTTTTGATCTTTTGCTTGGCTTTTCCCTCAGGAAGTTCTGACTAAAGAGCAACTGTATAAGCTTTTCCGAGAAATATGTAAAATGACTGAAAATCCAATTCAAAATATCTGCATGATTTTACTGTCCTGAGGTTATAATATCTCATGTAGCTTAGAGTTACTTCTCCTTACCTATATCTACTTGCTGTCTCAATTCTCTCTTAGACTGATAATTGCTTCAAAAAGTGTTTATTCATATGTAAAGACCTCTATTTATAAATTGAGTCTACTGTTTGTGCTCTCTGACATTTGGCCACTACTGGGATAGCACTTAAGTTGAGAATTCCAAACACTGGAACAGTGTAATGCGAATGTAAAGGCAGACTCTAGAAGGAATTTGGTTTTATCAGTCTGCATACACATGAAAGTCAGAATATAATTACTACAGTTCAGGTTTTCAAGGCTGTGGAAGTTAAGTGAAAGTAGCCCAAATTGCTCCCACCTCTGTCTAAATTGGAAAATAGCCCAAATTCATACCACCTGAATCTGAACTGGGATCTGTAGCAATGTTGCAGGTTTTAATTTTTGGTAAAGGCCTGATATTGGAAGTATTCTGTACATATTTGATCTATTCTGCTTTCAGAATATCCTTAGGAAGCTGTGCCATCAATGTGCTATGGAGGACAGCGAGCGAGTGGAGGGGAAATGTGCTGTTAGCACTGGCCTGTCACATGCTGCCTGGGTGGGTTTTGTGCTTGATCATCTGGGTCTGAATGCAAATTTGTGGTACTTGATACTGTGCCAAAAGTGCACTCAAACCCTATTGTTTAAAAGTGTGTCAATTTAGATATAGTTTTGTTTCCCCTCAATATCTATTTCAGTTTATAACAACTGAAATAACAACTTACCATTCAGTGTCCTATAGCTGGTGTTTGGAAACCATGAGTTTATGGAACATGGTTCCTCATGACTTTCTATGTATTTACAACTTACTGATTGCTATAATCAGGTGAACACACTGCAGTTTCATGTTTAAAATAATACATCTCTGTTTTTCCCAAGCATTGCTTTCAGGTTCTCACTAACTAGTCTATTTAAATTATTTTATTACTGTTTCCACTTCCAAGATGCATATAAGCTCTTTTAAACTAGAAAACACTGCTTCTTGTACAGGGAAAGATACACATAGGCATTTAGTTGTGTCTTAGCAGATGAGAGGAAGGTACATTTCTGTCCCAAGAATTTTTAAATACTTATTTTCAGAAATTTTAATTTCTTCACTATGGGTCAAATGGCTGAATGACACAACATTAATTTTGGAAGACTCCTAGCAACTGCTGTAGAAATTTTAAAGTTTTGATCTGTTATCACTTTGGATAGTAACTAATGAAATTGTTCAAATAGTTACAGTAGTAGATGATGTGTTTGAAAATGCAACTGTAAATTTAATTGAAAGGGATTTGGGTTTGTCTTTAGGCTCACTAGAGGAAACCGACAGTACATGCGGGCTTGTACTACGGGGTAGGCAAAGATGTGAAAACAGTAAATTTAGTAGGATTTTCTCATGAGGGGGCTTCTGAGCAAATTTATTTTAGCACCTGCAGAGTGTTTTATTTCCCTGGGGACAAACCCACTGTGTAAAAAGCTGCACTTCTGCTTTTCAGTTTTACCGTCATCTGTTCCACATGCACACAGAAACACAAAACTTACTCCTTCAGACAGACTAATTATTTAATGATAAACTAAAATTGTTGGAGGCCAGATTGCCTTGGAGGCAGTGCCCTATGCTGGAGCCATTTGACAGCTATGGAGGAGAAAAGTGCCTCTGAAGAGTAGTGCTGCTGCTTGGTCTGCAAATCTTATCCCTTTCCAACCTTAACGAGTGACTGCAATCCAGATATTCATAACTGGCTAGCTTTCACCTAGCTTTGAGTGTCACCAGGGAAGTGATGCTGCAGTGGCATGGGCTTATTTGAAACCTATCAAGTCCTTCCTTCAAGAGCATCAGTCAGAATTCAGACATGCAGTGGTCTAAATACACTTGCATCTCTGCTGACAAAAATCACTCTATACTCACACAGACAAAAAGTTGCATAAAAATTCAAAATGAAAGGTTTATCTGAAAATGAGGTTATTTCTGTATGGCAATGATAATGTTCACACATCTCATGACACCTTCAGCATCTGGAAGATGCTGAAAAACGGCAGTTTTTAAACCACTTTTCTCCTGCACTGGCTTGTAATACATATAGCCAAGTAAAATGTCTGAAGCATCTCTTCTCTGGAACAATTTGGTAGTCTGCCCTGCTTTACTGACCATAGTAATTCCTGTCTGAGCATTATCTCATTCCT